ATATATGATACTATTGATTGAAATTGGTTGAAGTTGCTAATTTATTGTAAGTATTACGCGGAAATGTAATTCAACGTATGTGATTCGTTCCGCCTGTATGTAGCGGATCTAGTAGAAATACCATCGCAGTTTTTATACCTTAAATCTGACTTCAGAAATAATTTTATTTATTCCACTCCCCTTAGATATTTATCATCACAACAAATATCAGCAAAAAATTATGATATAATCCCGTATATGATTTGTTTGTAAACGTGTTTATCAGATTCTTCACTCATTTTTATCTGCAAAAGTTTATATTCGTAATCGATATATATTCACCATCGGATATTGGCTAGCTTACATTACTTTTCGTTTAACTTCGTCCTCCGAAACTCGTTTGACGGCGTAGTATTTTTCGAGCTCAAGGCAAACATGATTAAAGCAATATCCAAGTATTACGAAATGAGCAGTTATCGCATAATAATAAAGTGAGCTGAAATTAATTCCTAAAATGCGCCTAGGCTATCGTGCATTATTTCTGTAGCTGCAAATCCGCTCCGTCTTTTGTTGTTGGCCAAAAAAAAATTTAGGATTTGGGGTTATATTCGGCAGTCGCTTGCCAGGAAAATATTTAGTTCTGATGGAAACTTGCTTTTTTTGTCGTATCTAGTTGGAAAGAACGTTGAATGTTACCTGTAAGGCAAATCCAAGAAAATTGCACCAACTAAATTGACATACAAGCGTTTAAAAATAATAATTCCAATTTCTTTTCGATTGAGAAAGAAAAATACACCGAAGATTCCTAAAATAAAACATTCAGCTGTGCAATTCCTGCACTGTTTCCAAAATGCATCTGTTGACGACCAGTTCAGCCCGTTAAAGGATTTATCAAGTTCACCATGTGTGTTCCTGTTTAAATTCTAGTTTTATGTTACAGATATTAAGTAAAGGATAGTGTTCAGTAGCAGTCAGTTTTTGTTCAAACTGTTGGTGCATTCATAAATTCGTTTCAAATTATTCTCCAGTATTAAACCTCTTAATAGTGCTTAGTTCCGTTTTAATCAAAAGCAGTTAGGAAAACTGAGCCACAATCAAGCACGAAACGAAAATTTTACCGGGCACGGCAGTAGTTATCATCAAATATGCGATAAGTCGTCGCTCTCCTCTGGGCCCCAAAAATTTTTGGATCTTGCCGTAGAAAGTAGTTTTATATACTGCTGCTCCAAACCACTCCATACATATTTCAAGACTGTTAAGTAAAACCCAGTAAAAATAGTTTGAAGAAGTTCCGTGCCAAGCAAGTACAAACAAAAATACAGATCCCAATGCAGCGAAACGACGTAGTGAAAAGTATTTGCTGCTTGGATTACCTGACACTGGTATATATACCTAGAATAAAAAGAAGTCGAATTGTTTCCGTTGATAATGGGAGTGCTGTATCTTAAAATGGATATGAATCTTATCTCTAACGGTTACGAAACGTTGAAAATAGATCAATGCAAACTTGTTTTTTGAGGAACACGTAAAGGCCTCTATCGAAATTGCGCCACATCTGTGAATAATTACTAATACGAGATATGCACATAGGTCCTGCCGGAGGTTTTAGGCCATCAGCTGAAGCGAACCAAGCCGGAATTCCAAAGATCAATAAATATTTCATATAAAACAACTTGCCATTTACGTAAGCTACACTCGCCACTATAATATAATTGTAATTAATTTGTAATTATGTCCATAAAAGCTTTACGAAAAAAATTAGGTAATATAATAACGCTTATTATGATAATACTATAGTAGCAATGATAATGGTGGCAATTAAATAATCATGGTAGCAATGATTAACAAAGAAGATAATTAAAGATAATAGCATAATGAAATAATCATAATAACTGTAATTAATAACAGCGATAGTTAAAAATAATATCATTTTATTTGATAATGATTTATATTAAGGATGTAATAAGATAATCTTTTATTTGTTAAAACTAAGTTCTACATGTAACTTACATTGATACTCATTGAGAGTATTGAATAATGCTGGACTTATGGCAAGAAGTGCATGAATATGGATGGAATGTAGTATCATTTCGAATGCTATGAACCATACTATAATTCGTACCATACGTACGAGCAAAACTCTAAACAGATCGCAAATTTATCTTTTACTTTATCTATTTTCTTCTTGCTAATTTTACTTTGAATTATATATGAAATTTCGGAAGTATATTGGGTGTTATATTAATTTCTCAAATTTTTGCTGATTTTTTTTGAACTTTTTATTATTCAGATAACATAGAGATTTGCATGTCACTCTTCGAAACCTATTTCTAATGAAACGATGGGACAGTGGAAAATATACGCAAATAGGTTTGGAAGAGATAAAATTTTTTTTGCTCATATTGTTAAATACTGTATTCTGGTATATAATATGTCAAGATTTGAAAAGTGATTAAATATCAGATTTGCATTTATCATATGTTGATTTCTCTCGCAAGCATTTCAAAATCTATGGGTCTTGCTTATCAAAAATACGAAGATGAGACCATCTTCTATGTTAGATATTAAAATATCTATTATTAAAAATAATCTCTGTTAAAGACTACACTTCAAATCTTGGCCCTTTTTTATAATAATGAATAAAATATTATAGAATAATGAAATGAATACTGACAGATATTTTTTGGAATCTTTTAAATGAGATATAGTAGTGCTCATTTTCATTAAAAATAAATAGCAACTTCATCAATCAATGACTTCCGAGTATTTTACATGCATCATCTTTAATTCCACTGCAGTTTTTGGAACCTTTTTGCACGTTCCTATCAAGAAATCCTTTAAAATCATTTTTTTATGAGAAAATTAGGAGTGGAAACTATGGAAATCAACTTTTTCCATATTAAGATGGATCGATCATACTGTTACTCTTAATTCAAAATCGAGGGGATGAATAAGAGGTGAAGATTCATGCATTTAGAAGCAGTGTTGAGTTTTTCTTCAATATCAGTGTTTTATATAAATTAACACCGATCTGAGCTTTTTCTTATCATTGTTTCCTACATTCCATTATAATTCGACCAAATATAGTTTTCAAAAAATGGGTCTTTGTAAGTGTAAATCTTTTTGATCCGTACAATTTAATGATGTAAAATTTGTAAGTTATTCTAATTAGCTAAAAACCCTACTTCTTCCGATTCGTACAGCTATTTGCTTGATGAGTGAGAAGAAATGGATTTTAGCAAAAACTAATATAACCTGTAATTTATGCATTTCGAGGAACTGTTTTCAATCTCCGTCATTTCTGCATCAAAATCATTGAATAGAACAATTAAAATAATTGAGTACGGCGGATAAAATATATATTGAATATAGCGAAAAATTAAGAATGGACTGACGTTGATATCCTTCGCTCGTGATAAGTAAATGCAAAAATTAAGAATCTGTAAAATGTGCAGGTCATCTAATGAAAAAACAAATCTTGAACTTCAGAAAAAAAGATGTAGTCTTCAAGAGTTTGAGACAATAATCTGAATAAGAAAGAAACAAGAGCACTAACCTTTACAACGCTATAAAGATAATAATTGAATTCTCTGTAACAAACATCTTCAACTTTACTGAAATGTATGATCGAATGGACTTTAATTATGAACATTATGAGGATAAACCATGAAACTAATTCATGGCGGCAATAATTTGCTACAATACCCATTACGACAGCTAGCATGAATACAGTTATAACGCAAGTGATACTGAAATTCATTTTTTTTCACATCATTTAAGTAAACTGGTAATTCAAGTAAAATTTTTAACAGAGAGGTGTCACTTTAGTCTCTGTTCTTTCAGTGTTTAGATAGAACCGTAATTTGGATCTGAAAAGTGACTTTATAATTTAAAGCTTAGAATTTTTTAAAAAATTATTTCTGGCTATTACCCTAACCTTGTGAAGAAGATCTCTGCAACAATCCAAAATACCAGCAGTAAACACTGCGATAATTGTTTCGGCAGAAGAACTGGGCAAATTTTGAACAGCACTGCGAATGAATATTAGATTAATACAATTTTGACATTTTTCATTAGTATATAAATTAAAATAAAGATTGGAAGTATTTTGTGTGAAACAGTCTGAATTACCCATATGTAATGTATTGATGATCAATATTCGACTTAACGATTTGATAAAATAATCCCACTCCAAATCGGATTGATCCTCTTGATAACCATTTATGTATCTGAAATTATGCGTTATTCAAATGAATTTTTCAAATTGAAATCTATATCATTTCTAGATTCTAAGGATTTATAACTGTCGATATGAATAACTTCGACTTTCATATACAAGTTCCTTTTTTCAATGATAGTTGTATTATATCCATCGGATAAAAAGCTCAAAAAAACCTTGCTGTGAATTAGGACATGAACCGAGATATGGTGCACTAATAGCTAGCATTTGCGATTTTCCATTCTTAACAACGTGATCAATTTTGTTGAAGAAAATTTTTCTCGTTAAAAGTAGGATTCCAATTTTATACTTCAAAATCATACCTACTGGCTTCCAAAACTAAATTGTTGCGAAATTTGTAAGAGACATTCCATGCAATGCAAAATGCCACGAATGAATGTACTATCCAAACCAAAAAACAAAGTGTAATTTCGATTGTCGGTAAGCGCGCTATTATACTTCTCTCTGACATCGCTGCATTTACCATTTATCTGTCCAGCATTCTACGTACAACAACAACAAACGTTATTTTACGAAAACAAAACAATACGAATCGTCAAGCATTCTTACTTTTATTTCATTTTCGAAATAACTAACTCATCATGCACATTCTTCTCCAACTTCATTATAGTTTAAGGTGTGTTGGCAGAGAAATGGTGTGTAACCTCTTTTAAACTGATGAAAATTTTACATCAAATTTGACTTTTTTTTTCAGGGATAATTAACCAAAGAAGCATGCAAATATGTCTTTTTTTTTTTATAAAAATTATCCTCAACTTATCAATTATAGAAAGGAATTGAAGTTATGTCTAGAAATTCCAGAATGTTCTCGACATAAAACAGTCGACCAATCTATAACTTACTTAAATAATCGCTTAGTCGCTTTTTCTAAAAATATCACAAGCATGCATCGATATCAATTATATCACACTAAAACTGATAACACTATAATTTATAATATGTGTGAACAATCTACCCTAATAATCAAATACAGCATATGTTGTGGTTGAATTGATGCAGAAAAAAAATAACTGTTCTTTCTAAACAGTAAAGATGCAAACAGTAAAGATTAAAGATTTGATTGGACGAGTCTAACGATTAATTTCAATGAAAATGAATTGAAAGAAGAAAACTAGAGAAGTCAGGAAAAAGTATAACCAAATGCCAATGATAAATAATAGCGCTCTTCTTTTATATCAGCGATAATAAAAGCAGCTGTAAGCTCGACGATTGAATATAGTACTATAGAGAATGATTCACCGGGAAAAGTAAACCGTTGGCATACAATGAATGCAATGACATTTGGCAATCCATAAATGCAAATGGATGAAATTGGAATATGATGTGAAGTGGTAATATCTGACCGAAAGCGGTGGATGAGTGACATAACAATCAATTATTACACTTTTAAATGCACCACAATACCAAATGCAATGAATTAGCACCTTAATTGATCATTCTTACTTTTTTGCCGATTTCTTAAAAAACGAGGAATTGCAAGTCGTTGTGATTTATTTCCCTGATAGAGCATTACCTGAACATTTCATTATCTAAATCCATGTATAGGTTGATTTTGCTAAATGTGATAATTGCTTCCTCTCTTATGATTCTCCTCTTTTATGTTATATGGAATTATTTAATCTTTGATAAATGAATTTTGATAGGTCTGTTTCCTGAAATACTTAAAGCTGTCTCCGACAATTTTCCATCCACTCCATAACGATTAGTCATAGGGAATGAAAATGTTGATAGTATATACTGCTGAAATTTTCATACTCTAAGCGTTTTCACGATTAGATCAATATGTTAGCTAATATTTGTTATTCAATGGTAGCTTATATGAATTCGCAAGCTTAAAATTTAATCCTTAGGCAGAATTTAGTTCCTTATTTGTATTTTTGAAATCAATTCTGTGAACACTTTGGGATGATCAACGAAGAAAGCTTCAAATGTTGCAGTGTATTCCTCAAATTAGTCATTTCAATATTCTTAATGGTAATAGCTCTAAAAGCATATAAATATATGGCCTGGAAAATTTTTTTTTATAATTGAAAATAATTTAAAATACCAGCTGTATATGGACTCTTAAAATTCGTCATATATGGACGCTACAATATACATTACAGATACATACGTATACATTCATATGGAAAATAAAGAATTAAAATGCATAACAAGCAGTAGAAATACAAACTGTTATGATCCTGTTGTTCAAAAGAGATTAGTTGTAAAAATACAATAAGTACGTAAGTTGTTCACAGCTTCTTTCTCAATTTCACCAATTTACAGTGTAGAGAAAAAATTCCTTCGTCGGCCATTCCAGTCACTCGTATTTTCAATAGAGATGCTACCCAACTTATTTTGAATTAACCACGGTCAGGTGATGTCATAAAAAATCATGTTGTACCATCCTATCTGTTAGGTAAAGACAATATACTAAAAGTAAAACAGACCCGCAACAGTAAGTTGTCAGTTGTGTTAGTAAACAAATGTCGAAAGATTAGATAATGAGTGTTAACAAAATGGGTCACTTGGAAGTTCGACTAAAGATATGCATCATAACATATGTAATTGCAAGGATGGAACTACTTGTTTTATCACCATTAAGTACCCAACAAGCGAAAGAAACTAAAGTTACCAAAGAAATGAAAATAAGCTTAATATGTTCTAAAAAGTGAAGCAGGTATCTTCCAAAATTTGTGGAAAGAACTTGCTGCATTAAAATGGTAATAAGCTTACTATGCCAGCATATATAGTTGATCACCTCTTATTTAAATTGTTTTCCAAAACCAATTAAATTACTTTAATATGGGTAAATAGACCTATGCATCTAATTGACAAAGATGGGTAAATAGACCGGTATTGTTTCGTAATTTTTGTTTGAAAAAAATTGTCTACATTTTCCATCTCTTAAATGAAATATTTATGGATGTGATTGGAAATTCGTCGTAAACAACGAAGGTCCGATTAAATGAAGGATAAACAAAAGTGATGGAAATGATAGTTGAACAACAAGTAATGATAAATTGGGAAACAGATAGAGTTTAAGGGATAACAATTCATCTCGCATGTTCTAATCACATTCTCATATCTTAGTTACTGTTTTAAATCACAGACCTCTTGCACAATCTTTTTTAAAAGAATTATTCGGAAGCAGCAACATAAAATCAAAACATAAAGACAATATTTCAATATGACCTTCGAAACAGTATTTATCCAAATTGCTAAGCCTTGCTATAAACCAATATTGTTAAACAGAACTGATATCTACCTCAGCTTGAACCGATTCCATTTGGAAATGAGCTCTCACTTACCAATTATGTGGTATTTTAGACAATCTCATTAATACCACACTTCGAAATAAATTAATAGAGAGAAAAGAATAAATACATCAGTAAATTACATGCTAAAATCACTTCCTAGAGGGTTAATAAGCTCGAGCTTTCCTGTAAAATGATAATACTATGTCAACTAGTTTATCAACAAGCACAACAATTAGTTCTAACTTTTGAGGCTTCTTCCTTCTCACTTGTAATGGTCACGATTATATTTGAAAGTGTGGTTTGAAAATTTCTGGAAAGAATTGCCGATACATGACTTTTTCCTACAAGTAAAGGATCTGCTACTGAGTTTAAAAAAATATATTCAGCCCATAGTTCAACTAACTGCTTTAGCGTAACAGATCAGACACATGAGAACAATAGTTTTATAATGACCCATTTATTATCTGCTTCATTTACAATACTATACCTGTACAGGTAATTTCAATTTATTATAACTGCTACATGTGATTAGAATGCAAGTGCATGAATTGCAAATTACGCTTTGTAACGCTAGCTCGGAGTTTCACTGTCGAGACAAAGAAGGATTATATACAGGGAAATGGAGAGTTCACAGGGCAACTAAATGAGGTATATAAGGAATGGTTTCATATTTAAATGAGGGCGTGAACTCTTTATGAACCACAATTAAGGAAAAGTATGACATATTGACCACACATTAATCTTAGCAAAACACGACACTTTTCTTCCCACTGAAAGTCACTGCACCATTTCAGCTCCGATTTACTCAGTTTTGCTTGCAGCCGTGTCTATTGATTGTTAGGAACTGTCATAAATATCAAATAAGAGCTAAATCTCTATTCAAAGTTGAGCTTCCTTGGCATTTTCTTTGGTTAATATTTCTAGTCATTTATTGACCTTTAGAATAACACGATCATTATTTTTTGCTTATCGTCGATTTCTTTTCCAAACATCCTAAAGTCCATCGACAGAATGCTCGCTCCATTTAGAATGGCGGGAAGCTCAGTTCACCTTCGCTGAATTCTACGGTTCAACTCGATGACCTTCTTTCTTCCATTCACGGTCTAACATCCAACCTTATGGATTATTTTTAATCGTGCAATCCAAAAAGGATATGAAAATGATGTAGAAAACCTTCATTTTTTTTGTCACCAGTCGCTTCATTTCCAATTCAGCAATTAATAAATGCACTCAGCTGAATTGTTCTTTAGTTCTTCAATTTACAACACTCGCAGCTTACTCCCGATCAGCCATACTAGGCCATGTAATTAAGAATTGGGAAAACTTGATATCCTTCATAAGGTATGATTTCGACGATTCAATATTTGCTCTTATCAGTTGCAGCCAAGACGAAGATTTGAAAATGTTTGTCCACCTTTATTGGTACTAAATTCATTTCAGACCTATGTGTCACTGCAGTACTATTCTTTTTTCTGCAACAGAGGTAGTGGATTAACAGTGATATAAACAACATCAATTCGCAGTCAAACAACAGAACTTCATAATGATCAATTATGACGCTCCTTTCGTAATAGTATCCTAAACAATGAAATTTGAGAGAATAGTAATACAGTTTAATCATTTCATACTTCATGACGTTCTTCACGAAGATTTTCATTCGATTGATGTAGGGATAAGAATTTCTTTTTATATCAGATAGGCGTCAATGAGAAATTTTCTAATTAGAGTTTTCTAATTTTCTAATTAGAAGTTTCTAATTAGAGCTGATAACGAACTGGTGAATGTAATCAGTATCAGTTTGCTCACAAAATTTGTCTTCATTAACCGGAAGAGGTTGATTAAGCAGCCTAGGTAATTCACCTCATTCAAAGAAAACCAACATTTTTTTATACGATACGAAAGACAAAATCTGAAATTCTGGAAAAAAGTTTCAAGCTTCTTTTAGGGCTTTACTTCGTCTTTGCTGAGAAGGATGATGTCATTAAAGCAGGTAATCGTGCTTGAGATCGGAAATTACGGAATTCACTACTTGTTGAACAATTCCAGATGCTGGAAACTTTTTTTCCAGAATTCGAAACAATGGAGAATCTTGGCGATAAGAGAAACAATAGAGAATCTTGGCGATAAGAGATTTTAATGAGTATTGAAAGCGAATAATTTCGAATAATTTGAAAAGCTATATTTGAAAATAAGCATAGGAAAGGTCAATAGGGTAAAAACAGCACTGACTACTAAGCGATATGTCATGCGCAAGAGCAGTGAAATAGTGGTTCATTCCGAATACAGAAATCTGCACAAATTTGGATAGACTCGTGGTTTTCCTTACTGCAGCGATTGACACATAACAAGCAGCTTTGAAACATTTATTACAAACAAATTTGTGATAACAAACGATAATTCGAAGGAGCTTTTCTGCATTTGAAGCATTTGGGAAGACATGCTGAATAACGCTGAATGACCTTCTAATTTCCGATTACTGATGGAGACGACTATGTAACGATAAAGTTTGTTAACATTGTGAGAGTCAGCGGTACGAATTCCATAGAGCATTTATGATCGGTCATTTGGCAGGAAAAACAATCATCCTTTGCTGTGCGCCACGAAGGTATCTGTTCAATCTCTCATGTTCAACTCACTCAATATTTTAGAGAAGCTGAAGATGGTTCTCCAAAGATGGAGAATGTAACATTGCTCGTTAAATATTCTCCAAGAGTTCACTGGTGAGAAGGATTTTGTACGCATGCATGAACCAAGAGCAGATAGAATCCAGCATTTATTAGCTGATCAAGTTGCACACAATGAGGCATAGAAAGCAGGGAACGGAGAGATTATATTTATATTTAAAAGAGTGCTTTTACTTGATCATAAAATGAAAAAATGATGCAGATCAAAATGTGATGTGACTATCACAATCTGTCACTCAAAGGGATTCAAAAATATAGGAAACAGTTCACAGTTTACAAATGACGCTATTTCATCATGGTTTCAAATTTTAATCGCGAAATATTTGTATTAATTGAAACAATAATATCGGAAGACGGAACTACCGAAACCAATAAAATCAGCCTAAAAACAAAGCCTAGAACGAGCAGCATTTACCAACAATCAAAGCAAGGATGCAAAAAAGTACGTTAAATAATATAAAAGACAAAGCAACCATTAAAGACTCTTTGGTGAAGCACCATAAGTTTTGAACAATGGCACCTGAAATATGATTTTGATAATTGTAAAGAAAAAAATGAAAATAAAAAAGGAAAACTAGTATTCTTTTATATTGCTGTTACGACGAACCCGCATGTGATAAAAGATCAATATTCAATACCAAACGTAGCCTTGAACAGAAATAACCATCAGCATCGCATAGTGATGAAAGCTAAAACCAATTCTACCATTAATTTGTTGACCAAGATAAACACCACTATTCAAAAAAATTCTTTTAATCAGTCAACTATTAAACTCCTGCATAGTGGACTGATTAGATTTTTTTGGAAAAATAGAGTTTACCTAACTTGTATAACACGTTTATGTAACTTCGGGACTTTCAAATCTTGACGAAGAATTTATAAACATGAAACCTGAAAAAACTCTTTGCACGCGGACATAATGTAAAAAATAATCCAAGGCCAAATAATATTCTGTATCAACAAAAAGGAAACTGCCAATCGCAAAATCAATCCTAAAATTAAAGCGATAAAATACGAAAGGGAGTGAATTCATTGAAAAAACGGATTTATACTGAAGAAACAGAAGTTGATCTATAATGAAAGGAAGAAATTCCAAAACGATATACAGAAAAGTTTTTTTTTGTAATTCTAAATCAGGTAATTTTCAGAGATGTAATTATACTACTGACAGGGAATCCCGATAAGCTTAAAAGTATACGATTTCGGAAAGATGAAAATAACAAAGAAATATTCTGAAACAAATCCAGATTGCTGTGACAAGAGAAAGGCGCTCTCATATAAACTGCACGGAACATACCAACAAGTAAAGCTTTCCATACACGACTCACTGATGTACACGATAAGGAAGACGATGCCGGTTTATTGGCTGCTGTATCTTCGCCATTATTTTTATTCATGAAATAATCCAACGATGCAATGAAATATGAAGTTTAGATATAAACACGAAGAATTTCACTAAAATTGTTAACAAATAGCCATATATCCTATCAAAAATATATTGTATTTCACCTTATCGGAGTTTCATATGAATGTACCAAATCTTTGAAACCTTCTCCACCTTCCAAAGCAGGGGCGTTTCGTACCTCCGCTGAACATATAGAGATTAAGATAAATATTCAACAATTCTTAATTAATTCTTTACAGCAAACAAAGAAATAAGCACTGTAAACTGACTTCCATTTGGTCCACTCAGGATCCTCCTAATACGCTGATCTGAATTTCGTAAAATACGTTCCCGCCTTCTTTCGCGTATTCGGGAAATAGCTCTGCTCTCAGGTAGTAACATACCAAATAGTGTTCCCTCTGTTCTGAAAATTTTTGCTAGATGTGGGTTTAGGAGTGTTGAAATATACAATTCGATGTGAAATATGAACCGCGCACATTTCGAACATTTACGAACGCCCAAAGGCACAAACTATATTAACAGAATCATACCTTTGCAACAGAAATGAGCCCGAAAGGTAATTCTCCAGAATACATGAAAATCAGATGGACTTACCAATGGAATTTAATAGATCGAATTTTCATTTCCATAAATATGTAATAAAGATTTCATAAATATATAATAAAGAAGATACAAAAATATCACTGAAAATAAAGAACAGAACAAATTTAGCAGCAGGAAACTTTCCAAAGTGCATCAGAAAAATGACGAATTTTACATTCTTTGAAAATTAACAACAATAAGTACACAAAAATATTCAAAATCAACTCTATGAACAAAGCTTATGAAGTAATTTTTCGATCGTGGGTTGGAGCAAAATCTTTCAATTATCTGACATTCTCCGAGAAATGCTGAAGAAAAATAATTGCACCATGGTTACTGGAACAATTATAAACACTAACTTATTTCAATCCGTCATATAAACTTAAACTTTTCAGGTTTCTCATTAACAACTTAATCCGCAAATGAATTTTAAAAAAGATCTAATAGTGGCTATGTGATCCGTCTTCCAACAGCTTATAATTAGCCAAATCCACTTCGTGGCTCAACCATCAAAAGAAAATGCTACACTAAATCTTGACATAACTGATAGATATAACACGTAAACATTTGGTAATATTGCAGTGATATCAGGTCTTCCTTGCGGCATTTAAAATGTGTGTAACAACCGGAGCAACTTCTTTGTTTCCCCGATATCGCGCGTGAATTTTTTCTAGCACGGCAAATAATTTCTTCTCAGCAGCATAGTTTGCAGCTTCAACTGGTTTTCTGAAATAAAAACTACTTTCCAGAATAAAAAAAGCAAAGCCGTAACAGTGCATGATTTGATTTTGAACATGAAAATGTTATCGGAAGAAACTACCAGCATAAATATTAGACTAGTTGAAGTTGGTAGCACATTTTCTGAAAACTGAAGAGAGCATATAAATTTTCAAAGGATCCAATTATTACATTTTTATGTCGGTAAGTTAATTCTTTAGTAAAAATTTTCAATATGAATAAAATAAGAAAAAGAAATATATACTCCAACAAGAGGAGGCTGTCCACTACTTCCATGGGATTTGTAAGTTTCTCAATGAATGATCTACACAAGGACTCATTGCCATAACGTGCACAAGCTTCAATAAATGGCTGAAAATAATTTTAACAAATGATGATAAATATAAAAGAATAGGTTACGATACATTAAGAATACTGTGACGATTAGCTAATGTAGTATGGAACAAAGAATACAATTCAACTTGCCATGTAACTTGTTAGAATCTTTTTGGATCTGAATAAACTTTCAAGATGATGCCATAATTTATTACGGGCATAGCTTTCAATCTTCCATATGTACGATCTAGAAAACAAATTTCGAAATCATCACAGCCGCTTTAAATATTACAGCACTCACATTTTTGTACTGTTTATTTGTACTGCTTAGACATCAATCTGAACAGACTGCAGAATCGTTCAAACAACCGTCACCTGACAAAACTATCCAATTAGTGAAATATGATTAACCCACTATACAAAAGGACACCTTTTATGATGTCTAATTCTACAGAGTTTGCATGAAATGCTAGTGAGCACGTACTGATTTCTATTTTTAGGAAACATTTTTAGTTTTATCATTTGAATGATGAGATTATTGGTCTTGGATGATTAAGTGGAACTGTTTCAAACTTTTTTAAAAGGTTCATGATGCATGTCTATAACGAGAATACAGTAAGGCACCATGCTGAAACACACTGAATTTTACTATAATCCTTATTAAAAAACAATCGAAATTGGTTTCAAAATAAAATGCTTTATCCAAAAGAAAAAGAAAAAAAAACATACGCTTTCTCAGTTATTTTAAATTTCTTTTTGAGTAGTTCCGCCAAATTATCTTCTCGATGTCCCACAGCCCACATGTAAACACATCTAATACTCGTTCTATCAACATCATTAAAACCAGGTTTTCCATCCAAAGTTTCGCATATACTAAATAATTCGGCTGTTTCGGTAGCCAACTGAGCTGTTGTATATTCCTAAAAACAAAACCTGAATATATTAAAGTACCAATGATTCCAGCCACAATATGAGCCACTTAATTCACAAAGCAAAATGAGTGAGTCGTTCACATACTTTCAACTTATTCAAGCTCATCTCTGCTTTCAGCAGTCCTTCTACTTTATCTTTATTGTCGAAAGGATTCCATGGCATAGCTTCAGATTCCTTCAAATAGTACAACGACTGACGAGTAAAGTCGTCTTTCTGCATGTACAACGCCAGAAGATGACGAGGTGCTTCCTCCTACAATCAACTTTTCCAAAACATAGAATGCACCACAGTTGATTCTTTAAAGAAACTTTTTTCGATTGTATTACCATTACCTTTAGGTAATCCTGGTACAGACAAAGAGCTTGTGGCAATTTTAATACAAGGTGATCAATGACTTCCTTCTTCTGCGTTCTTTTCAAATATGTTAGAACATAATGTACTGAAATGCGTTAACTATAGCTTAACTGTAACTAAACATGCCAAAAGTTTATGACATATCAACTTCATAAAGCAAAGTGCTAATAAAACCAAATATATCCACAAGAAATTAAGCATACTTACAAAGATCTGGCTGTTGACTTTTTGCAGCCTTTGCTAAAGCTCGATCAACTCTATTCAACTTCATAAGCATTTCGACCTGTCTGTTAAGACATGTTTCTCGGTCCAGCAAAAATTCAGCTAACTCGCTTAAATTGGCACCTGCAGCTTTCATTGCGACATCTGTAAGAATACGTGTCATTGACTTGTAACACTGAATACTAAAATGACCTCTGCAAGTTATAAATTAAGATTCCCCAAGAAGACATCCAACCTGCAAAGCTAACTTCAGGATAATTTGTAAATTTGCTGACAATCATTTCTGATAAGGCTTTAAAATCGGGTATTTTCCCAACTTCTTTTGCCGCCTTTGCCGTCTCGATCTAGAGAAAATGAACAAAAGAAACAAATATATTCTCATAAAAATGTACATGAAAATTTAATAGAAACAAATATACCAAGCAGCAAAAGCGCAGAGCTCGAAACAAAAAAAGCGGATGTAAAAATTGAAGATGAAGATTAAAAAAAAGCACTCATCATCAAGAAATTACCTTCTTCAATGCCCAATGAGCCAATACACGATGAACTCCATTTTTCGAAGGCATCTTCATATAGCTGCTTATGGATATTGCTGAAGGCCACTGTCCCAAATCTGTAAGTCGATCAATCAGCGCACTCATTTTTAGCTCTTCTGACCTGTAACGAATAATTCATAACTGCTCAATTCAATAAAAAATGAATTCTTTCAGTAGGAATCTTCTCACCGACACACCCACATATATAACATGCAAAATTCAATATCATTTCCAAACTCAGTTGAGGACCTTTCATTGCTTAGCGGCGGAGTGTACCGAAAAACAGCAATTGCTTTCAATATATACTATTTTTAACCTACTGATCTAACTCATTTGCTATTAGCTGAAAAACACAATGATTAACCACATATTTCCTCGAAACTACGATTTCAGCGAAAAATAATCTTTAGCATGAACTTTTAGGATATTTCGAATACAAACTCTATTTCAAAAACAAGTTCCAATTAAGATTGCCAATCAGACGAACGCGTTTAGTTTAGGCCATTGTAACACAAGATAGATACACTGAACAGCAAATATATATCACAGTTTTCCCATATATATATATA